GCGAGCCATATCATCAACAGAGCACGCTAAAATGAAGTCTCCATTTGATTTAACGTGTTTCTGATGTCAGCTGTGCGACAGGGACTGATTTGAAACCATACAATGAGTTGAAGGGTTAATTTGCGTCTGTTTTTAATTAAGGGGCTGATTTATCACCATTCACTGAGTTCAAGGGCTGATTTTTCCTTTTTGCCTTAAGAAAAGTTGTGGGTGCTAATCATTGCCTGCCTGCTTCTCTTTTAAAATATTTACAGAAACATGCAAAATTAAGGTGGAGAGAGGTTTAACTTCTCTCGGACAGTCAACTCTTGCCTGATAGATAGCATCTTCCTCTCCATTGCTTTTTATAATCTTACTGTGGTCGGATCTGATGCCAGCTATCTGAAACCATTCGAGAGAAGCTTCATTACCATAACTCTGAGCCAAACCATTGATGTCCTTCTAGAAGCCAACCAAAGTCCCAATCGCTATTACATGGCCGCCAGTGTGTACACCATTAATTTCAAAGGTTTATTCGACAATACCACTATTAGAAAAATATGAAAAAGCAAAAGAATAAAAAAATTATTCTAAGTCGTGATCTCATTTTCTTTAAAGATTTAAAAATCCTTCAAAATACAACAGAACACAAAACTCTCTCAAAACTAGAGGTAGAGTTCTGACTTTACATAAAAATTTATAATACTTAAAAAGTCACTATTTGTATGGATGTATCTCTCCAAAAATATACTATTTCATAAAAGTACCTTTTGACTACCAAAAATTATATTTGATTTTTAGATATGTTATCCCAAATTTTAATTTAATAAAATAAAATAAAATATCCAAAAAAAATAAAAAATTAATGATGTTCTATCAGTCAAACCCACTTTACCTTGGGTTTCATTTCATTTAATTATTTTTTATAAAAAATATTTCTTTATAAACTCTTTTCAGTTCTCATACTTTCTTAAGGTGAGATTTTAAACATTTACAAACTATTCAACAACCACCACCACAGCTATTGTAGAATATAGTGGAAACTACACTCCATCCTGGCCGCCAGCGTTCCCCTTTCTTCCTGTCTATAATGACTCAGGGGCATATGATAATTTTATCGAAACTCTTCGGAGCTTCGCTGATAAAGAGCATCCAATTGACTTGCCAATGGAAATAAACACACATTTGTTTTACACGATCTCAATCAACAATCTATGCGAAAACAGCACCTGCCCAGGTATTGTTTTTTGAAGTATACTTAATTTTTTTATTAATTAAATACAATAATATTAATTACTCAATAAATATTATTTTTATCGCTCAAACTTTGTATATAATTTTGAATTTTTCATATGTAGTTTTCTACTTGAATTAGAGGAATTAAGGGTTAAGATTTGTGTAATATCATTATACGGGGGCGATTTATAGATACACATATAATAGTCAAC